TCGAGGATGTTGAAAAAAAGAGAATTCCAAGATTTTTTTTTTTTTTTTTTCCAAGTGTGACTCCTACTCGGAGATCCCACACATCCCCTGTCATCTGACCAGTAACGCGCCTCCCGGCTTCCCGGATGGCCTCCAAGACGCCCAAGGACAGCCCAAGACGACCCCAAGGAGCCCCCTGAACGTAAAGAACGGCCCGACACGCTCACGCGCAGCCCGAGACACCCGACGGCTATCCAGGCCTCCAGGAGGCCTCCAGAACCCCCAGGGGGTCCGGAAGATCCCACACCCCCGAGGGGCCCGTCTAAAAAAACCCACGAGGCACAAATAAAAAGCAGCGCCGAACAGCGCCGAGGAGCTGGAAACAAAATGGAAATCCCACAACTCTTTTTTGTCCAAGTTTGGCCTCCGGTCTTCTTTTGCGCAACAAACCACAATTCAGACCCCCTTTCACCTCCCGAAAAGAGCCCAGGAAAGCCTTCAAGACCCCAAATCGTTGAATATCAAAAGGGAATTGATGATTTCTGCGTTTCCGCATCTCCCCTTCTATACGATGCCGAGGCTTGCGCAGGGCCTCCAAGGGAGTCCCCGGACGCAAGAAGCTACCAACATGATATTACATGAGTTCGCCTATCAAGCCTAGCTAGAACTTGAGCGCGCGCGCGAAACGCGCGCAATGGTTCTAGTAATAGATGGTTCTAGTTTATATGCGTATGCACATATATATATATATATATGTATATATATGTTTATATGTAGATGTATATGTGCACACATATATATAGAGAGAGAGAGAGATATATACCTGTGTGTGTTTACATCCCCACAACACATCATTTGTTTGTTTCGCAACGCGAGGGGGTCTGGGCGCGTCTCCCCGCGAAGGGCGCGGCCTGTGTGCCGAAGCGGCTGGAGGCGACGGCGGCGGGCGGCGCGGCGGCGGCCCGGCCGGGGGCGGCGCCGCAGCAGCCTGCGCGTTGCGCCGCCGGCCAGGGCGCGAAGGCTGGGGCGCGCAGTCACCGTGGATCGGTGCGACCGTTTACTCTGGCGAAGCGTCACTCTTACGTGTAGTCTTATGTCGGGCCTGTCCCCCAAAACAGGGGGGCATTCGGCGCAAAGACAACAACTATTCCGGAAACGGTCAAACGGTACTCCAAAAAAGCAATAGTATGGGGATGCTTTTGAGGATGTTTTGACCTGGGGCTTTTTGGGGGTATGTTTTATTTTTCTTCGAAAATCCCCCTGTAGGGGAACACGCCCGACATAAGACTACACGTAAGAGTGACGCTTCGCCGGAGTGACCTTTGGTGCGGGCTCATCGGGGTCCCCCCGACCGCTGAGCGCGATGCGATACTGGCTGCTTGCGCCCTTGGATTTGGCCATCTTACGCCCGCTCAGTCCGCGCACTAAAGGTCACTCTTGCCCAGGGTCACTCTTGCGTGTCACCGAGACCGGCCCAGACCCCCTCGCGCCACAGATCGGCACGACCCAGACCCCCTCGAGGCATTACAGAAACACGACGGGAGGTTTGTCGTTCTGTTTTCGGCCTCGGGGGGGGGGGGGGCCTTCTGCCGGCCCTCGGGGGGGGTCGACGTTTCTGAATGAATCATGACGTCGGGGGTCTGGGGACCGACCCGGACTCCCTCCTCCTCCTCCTCCTCCTCCTCCTCCTGTTTTCCTTCTCCCGTCTTCCTTCCCAACAGTTGCTCCCCCCGCACCGAGCCGCAGGGACTCGTATTCACAAGGTAATGAACCTCTCTTACGGGGCCACCTCGGAGCTTACCCCTTGAAGCTTCGGGGTATGCCCCCTGCCGGCCCCAGTGAAAGATTTCACAAACAAATTGCAGTGGCCTTCGGGCAAGGCACAAGTGTAGGTGTGTTGATGTTGGCCCCCTTATGCGGATGTCCTGTCCTGTCCTGTCCTGTCTTTCTCCTCCTCGGTTTGCAACGTGGCTGGATATCGGTAGTGATTTATACGCCGCCGCCCTCCCCCGAGGCCCAGGAACAATCCGTTGGCACCTGTGCCGCTGGGTGCCTGTGTGGCGTCCCAGGAAAACAAGCGGGTTGGCAGCCCGATCGTCCCCACAGCTCGACGGGGCTGTGGGAGAGACTCTTGCCCTGTGGTGTGCCAGCCACAGTAGGTGCGGGCCCGCCGTACCACCCCTGAGAGGCCCGATGGGGTTACTCGAAGGGGTCCCCCGACGTGGGGGGCGTGGGAACTTAAGTCCTTGGGCAGCGGGGCCTCCGCTGCTTGAGGCCGGCGGCCAAGTGGGGGTGGTTCCGGTGGCCGTGTCTCGGGGTGGCATTTCGAGGCACCTCGCAACGGCGGCGCGGATAACGCCGGGGGCGGTCCGTGCCGCCGTTCGTGTTGCGAGGTCCGACTGCATGTGAATTCATGCAGGCACCTTGGGCACCTCCCTTCGGGTTGTGTCGCCCAGGTGTTCTGTCCGGGCACAAAAGAAAACAATTCATTGGACGGCGTTTGTGTCTATATTTTCGCGGCGGGGCGTCGGATCAGGCTGCGTCGTCACGGATGCGAAGTCGAAGCGGATTGGGAGACCCCAAATTCCGCGCGCCAGGAAATAAGCAGTGGCGAGGCGCCCTAGCGTGCCTAGGGACCGTCAAAGAACGATTCAGGATGAGAAGCCGGTCCTAGGAATTGGTCCAGAAGCTTGGGGGTCGACGCCATGAAAGAATCATCACGTCGGGGATCGGGGGGCACACATCCATACCCACTGCGGGGACGGGGGGGGCTAGGGGTGCGCTGGGTCGGACGGGGGTCCCCGCTCGAGCGGGAGATCCCTTTGAGACCCGACCACCCGCATTGAATACCTATGGGCAGTCCTCCTCCCTCCGACCCCCCGTCTTTATATCCCCAAGTTCAACGTGGGACTTAAACGGATCATTGGGCGGTGATACCAGGGGTGATTGCAAGGGTGTTTTCAAGGCTGTTGTGTTCGGCGGCCAGCAGTGACTCCCAAACAAAACAAAGTGACTCCCAAACAAAACAAAGCAATCCCAGACCGGGCCCGTATGGGCATGCGTGTGCGCTGTTCGCTCGTCACCGCACGGGTATTGAAAAAATGGGTGCGAAAACGGGCCAGCATTTCCTGCTCGTTTTGAGCTGGACTCGCTGTCGGTATCGCCGCTGACGCTGCCCATGTGAGACAGAAGGCCGCCTGCCCAATGGCGGCCGCTGTCGATTGTGGACAACATGTGTTGATGGGTATACGACCCAGTCTTTTCGTAGGCATTCCGGGCGTCCGCTGAAGCAAAAAACCCGACACGCAACGTCTTGGCACAAAGTCAGGACGGGAGGTTTTATTTGTCGTCGTTTTCGGCTTTTGGGTGTCCTTGCCGGCCCCGGGGACTGTTAACAAAACGACTCAGGATGAAGCCGGTCCCGGGGAAGGAGTCGGGACCATTGTTGGACCTAAACAATGTTTTGCTCGACTTCGGCTGTGTTTGGTTTTTCGTTTTGGCAGGGAGGTGCAGGAAAACAGGTAGAGCAAAACGAAGGGCAGAACGAGCACAAAACGAACAACAACGTTGAGGTCTTGCACTGGTCGGGACTTCGGGACTGCGCATTGAACAAATCAACAGATCGCGCGTCTGCGAACGGGCCCTCCCGTTTCTCACTGTCTTTGTTGGCCTCGCTGCGCCTCCGTCCTGAGTTCGGAGATTGTTTTTTCTTTGATTTGTTAGCGTCCGCGGCCGCTTTAGTTCTTGTCAGTTTTCGGCCATGGAGCAAACAGATACTGCCTTGAGATCGTTCCAGAAATTCTGTATCGATGTTGGTATTTTCGCGGTCGGTATCCGCACGCCCGCGATAATAAAGCACCCCCGCCTTAACCCCTGAGTCATCGCTAGCCGTGGGGAACCCAGATTTGATATGCGGGCGGAGCGGCGAGGCCGGACTGTATTACCACCAGGGAAAGTACGAATCGTACATTGAGGTTTTCTCCCCTTGGGAAGGCCCCGCCAGAGCGCCAGGGCGGCCCCGCCTGAGCGAGCAGGGTATCGCATCACCATCCCATTTCACTTGTTGCTTGCTCCTCCCTTCACTCCAGGGTTTAGTGGGCCCCAGAAACGGCAGGGCCGTTTTTCACCGTTTCCGAAAAAGTGTCCCTTGGAAAAGGAAACGGCAACAAAAAAACGGCGACCGGAAACGGCAACAAAAACGGCTCCAGGATTGGAGCTGGAGCGGGAGCCCGTAAAAGAACGGCGACGGAACCGGTCAAAAAACGGCGTCGGAACCGGCAAAAAAAATGGGAAAACGGAACCGGTAAAAAAACGGCCTTGTCGTTTCCAGGGCCTTTTAAGCTCCAGGGCAGCCCCGCCAGAACGAGCAGGGTGTGGCTATACCACATCGTTTCTCAGATGTTGTGCCCCTCCCCTCCAGGGCGGGCTCCGCCGGAGCGCCAGGGTTCCCCCCCCCCACTGCCCCCCCCCCTCCCCCAGAGAGAGCGAAGTGTGGCTATACCATATTATTTCGCAGATGTTTCGCCCCCCGCCCCCCTCCTCCTCCTCCTCCTCCTCCTCCTCCTCCTCCTCCTCCTCCTCCTCCTCCTCCTTCCTCCCTCCCTCCTTCCCCCCTTCCCCTCAGCCGAGTGCCCTGGACGAGGCACAGCACGTCATATTTGTCGCCGCCTTTAGCGTTCGCCGTCCAGTCGCCTATGATGGGGGGTAGTACGGGGAGGTGTGATGTGGTTTGGGAGGGCCTGGACTCCTTGCTTCGGTTCGACGCGTTCCGTCCGCTCTGTCGCGGGGGTCCCCTCGTACTGTACTGTACTTGTAGACTTGGTGCCCGTGCAGAGTTTGCGAGCCTCGCCGTTTAGCATAGCCACACGAGTTGACTGTGCTGACCGCCTCTGCTAGCCGCAGCGCCGCCATCAGCTGACAGGCCATACGCTTCATCAGCAGCGCAATCCAAAAATCCTCCTCCTCCTCCTCCTCCTCCTCCTCCTCCTCCTCCTCCTCCTCTTCCGTAGCCATTTTGGCTCAAGCCGTTCGGTCCCCAGAGCGAGCTGCGAGTTCAGCGCCGCGCCGGGCGCGAGCCGAGCCCCAGAGAGTCCGCCGAGCCACATGCCACGCCTGCCGGCTGCCGTCGCAGCTGCGGCCACGCTGGCCTCGCAGGTGGGCCGCTGCTGGGGGAGCGCCGCGCTGCTGCTCGTGGACGTGCAGGACTGCTTTCTGGAGAACCTGACCGCCAGCGGTGAGCCCGGATCCCTCTCGGTGCCCGCTTCGCACATCATCGCGACGATCAACTCGATCCGCAGCGAGAAGTCGTGTCTCTTCGAAAGCGTGGTGCGCACGCAGGATTTCCACCCGGAGAACCACATATCATTCGGCTCCACGCACGGCCGGGCCCCTTTCGCGCACCTCTCTGGGAAGGGGAGCCTGCCCCTCACGTGCATCAATCCCGGACGGCGGACGGCGCCTGCTGCCCCACGATCTACGTCGACCCCTCCACCGTCGATTGCACGACGCAGCTGTGCCCCCCGGCCGGCTGGGACTACGACGTCAACACTTCGGACATCGTCACCGATAACTTGGCATGCTCGTTGTGCGCCACCAGCCCGGCAGAATGCTTCTCCACCGACCAGGCCATGTGGACGGACCACTGCCTGCAGACTGGGGACTCGGGTTTCCCGCCCAGCCTCATGACGGCGTCGACCGATATCGTGGTGCAGAAGGGCATGAACCAGTACGTCGACGCCTACAGCGCCTTCATGGACAACACGAAAACGCTAAAGACGACCCTGGACACCACGCTGCAGTCGCTGGGCATCGACACCATCTACGTCGCGGGCATTGCCACGGACGTGTGCGTCAGGTGGACCGTGGAGGACGCGCTGACATTTGGAAACTACGACGTGAAGGTGATCACCGACGCCACGGAGGCCGTGCTCGGCAGCGAGGCCAACTTCGACAGCGCCCTCGCCGCCATGGTGAGCGCGGGGGCCACGAGCCTCACGGCCGCCGACGTCCTCGCCATGGAGTGCCCGCAGGAGACCTCGGGGAGCACGCGCCTCGCGGCCGCGGGCGCCCTGCTCGCCGCGGCCGCGCTGCTGAGCCCTGCCGGGCAGTAGGCGCGTCCTCGGCGCAGAGCCTCGGGGAGGAGGGGCGGGGGAGGAGAGTGGATGGGGAGCAGCCACGACTGACCCCAGGCATTTGGCTTCGTTGTACGGCCTCCCCACAGCTAAGGGAAGGCAGAATTTGGCGAGAATTCAGGGTGGGGAGTACCCCCACCCCAGCGGGCGCCGAAGTCGGTCAGAGCTGCTGCCATCGTCGATCTGCAGCAGTAATCGAGAGGAGCTCCGACATTCGCCGTCGTTCACCCCAACGTTCCCAACGTTCCCCCCCCCTCTTCCTCCTCCTCTTCCTCCTCCTCCTCCTCCTCCTCCTCCTCCTCCTCCTCCTCCTCCTCCTCCTCCTCCTCCTCCTCCTCCTCCTCCTCCTCCTCCTCCTCCTCCTCCTCCCCCCCCCTCCTCCTCCTCCTCCTCCTCCTCCTCCTTCTCCTCCTCCTCGTCCTCCTCCTCTTCCTCCTCCTTGTCCTCCTCCCTCCTCCTCCTCCTCCTCCTCCTCCTCCTCCTCCTCCTCCTCCTCCTCCTCCTCCTCCTCCTCCTCCTCCCTCCTCCTCCTCCTCTCCTCCTCCTCCTCCTCCTCCTCCCACCCCACCCTACCCACCTCGCCAGGGAGTCCCCACCAGAGCGAGCGGCGCGTCGCTATTCCGTGCTGTTTCTTTGTTTCCACGTTCGTCCCGCCCCATCTAGGGAAGGCCCCGCCAGAACCATGAGCGGGGAGGATTTCTCAGGCTTTGTGTTCCTACATCCGTACGCGGTGCATGCATACATGCGACTTACCGGGGAAAGCTTGTATTCCCCCCCCCCGGGGCCCCGAATGTTATTATCCCCATAGTGTGATTCTCACCGGCACAGGATAAATCGGCTTAATCTGGGCTGATCTGGCCTAGTCCGGCTAAATCCCCTGTAGCCTGAATCAATCTGGCTTAAATCCGGGCTTAGTCCAGCCTTTCTTGTGAAGTGGCACCTTAATCGCCCGAGCGAAAACTTCCCAGGAGTTGCCTCCGAATTGAAAACGGCTGAGGACGAAACATTGATGTTATTCAGTTGGGCAGGTCTTGGGTCTAGGGCCAATGTTCCATCCCGGCTTCTGCTTCATGCTAAGCCAAAGCGGCTCAGGACCAGTGGCTTCGGCCGAACTCGAGGCGGTGATCGAGGTCATCCTTCGAGGCTTTCAGGCGTCTTCGTTTGGATCTTGGGGGTTGTTCAGCCCCAGGATGCCCCGCTGCAGCTGCGCCTCGCCGAGAGCGTTCCAGGGGTGCCCACATCGACCCGAACGGTCGCTGGAGACCCGAGTGACAGCCCCGAAGCCAGACACCGTTGCATTACAAGGAAAGGTCTGGCCGAAGGTTTCGGGCCATGCCTGGCGCCTGGGAGCCTTCTTGTCACCAGGCCCAGGGGCCGCGAAAAGACTGGCGCGGGAGGAGAAGACAGCCGCTGGTAGGATTAAATCGGGCACGTCCCTCTACATGAGAAATATTGCCAAACAGTAGAAAAGTTGTCTGGGAAAGATGTTTGGACTTTTTGTGTTGAGAATTTGTTGGCTGTTTTTGCATTCTCGTCCAAAGCCCGCCTGTAGGAGGACATGCCCAACCCAATGGTAGGAGGCCTGGCCTTCTGGGGCGCACGTGGCGAATTCATCACGACGTCGGAGGCCTGCGAGGTACGGGCTCGGCGGCGAGCCCGGTGTGGAAGCGAGAATGGGCGGGCCTCAGGAGGTCAGCCACGCGCAGAGGGGGTGGGGGGAGGGGGGTGGGGGGAGGGGGGAGGGCTTCTTACAAGCACCCCTGATTCTTGGAAGCGCGGGCCTTATCTATCGATGCAAGGCCGGCGCCTTCTAAGAAGCAGCCTCCTTCTGAGAAGCCTTCCCCCCTCCCTCCACCCCCTTATGCGCGCCGCCAAGAAGGCTCGGAGGTCCCCTGGCCCTCGGATCGGGTTTTGAGCCTGCCCCGAAGACGCCCGAGAAGTTTTTCTGAGAGCTCCTGAGGAGCCCCGCCGCCTTCTGAGAAAGCCCCCTCCTCCTCCTCCTCCTCCTCCTCCTCCTCGAGGAGGGCGAACAGTCTCTAGCGCTGCCTTCGCACGATGATGGAGGGGCGTCTGATTGATTTTCCGGTGCTTTTCATTTGCAGTAACCGTGGCACGCCCCAGGGGTATTCCGTGACCTACTCTTGGGCGTCTCATCCTTGTATTGTAAGTGCAATTTTTCTTGATGACCCTCTGTAGCGCCATGACAGTCGGTTTTTCAAGACCTTCCAACGCGAGGAAAGAAGCGGTGGTGGTGTTCCCGCGGGGGAAAAAAAAACCTCCTCCTCCTCCTCCTCCTCCCCTGAATGGACGTGCGTCCCCCCTTCCAGAGCGCAGGTGCTTCTGCGCCCCTGGCCGGCTGGGGCGACCCCGGCCAGACGCGGGTGCCGCGGACAGACGTGTGATGTCCTGTTCGGGGGCGGAGAAGAGGGGGGTGATGACGAGGGGGGGGTGGATGTCATAGCGGGGGCCATGATATGCCCACAGATTTCACGGCGCCTCTTCTTCGTCCATGACGCCCCTGGCCCCCCCGCCTGTGCCGCGCACGTGCCGCCGGCCATGATCTGCACCCCCCCCCCTCTTGGACGCCCCCCTCGTGGCCGCTCCGGAAACTTGTGCTCTTCGGTACGAGGGGGGGGGCCCCGGAGAAGTCTCGCGAGCCTGTCCCCCGGGGCCCGCTGTCGAAATCTCGAGTCGGGGTTGCCCCTGGAAGGGCCTCTACCAGAAGGGGCCCACGGCGGCCCCAAAAGAACGCCACCCGTCGTGCGTTTTTCCCCACATCCTAAGTGGGGTTCTTGTTCCCCACATCCTAAGTGGGGTTCTTGTTTTCTCTGCGCACCCTCCGCGCAGGATCTCCTCCTCCTCCTCCTCCCTCTCCTCTGCTCCTGTTTGCTTCCTCCTCCGTTCCTCCTCCGCATCATCATCACCATCACCATCACTCCCCACTCATCATCATCATCACCATCAGCATCAGCATCACCATCGCACGATCACTCACCATCATCGGCACCGAACGATCATCATCATCATCGTCGTCATCATCATCATCATCATCATCATCATCACTACTCGCTGACTTGAGGCCAGAATATGGAGGAAGTATCAGGCGGGAGCCTCGTCTGTGAGTGAATTGCGAGGAAGTCTCAGGCGGGAGCCCCCTCCCTATGGGGCCCGCACTTCATGTTGGTAATCCGAGCGGGTCATCCGCAACGTGTAACTGTCGTCACTTTTGGGCTCGTGAGGCCTGAATATGGAGGAAGTCTCGAGCGGGAGCCCCGTCTGTGAGTGAATTGCGAGGAAGTCTCAGGCGAGAGCCCCCTCCCTATGGGGCCCGCACTTCACGTTGGTAATCCAAGCGGATCATCCGCAACGTGTAATTGTCGTCACTTTTGGGCTCTTGAGGCTTGAATATGGAGGAAGTCTCGAGCGGGAGCCCCGTCTGTGAGCGAATTGCGAGGAAGTCTCAGGCGGGAGCCCTACAGTATGGGGCCCGCATTTCATGTTGGTAATCCGAGCGGGTCATCCGCAACTTGCAATTGTCGTCATTTTTGGGGTCTTGAGGCCTGAATATGGAGGAAGTCTCGAGCGGGAGCCTCGTCCGTGAGTGAATTGTGTGGAAGTCTCAGGCGGGAGCTCCCTCTCATGGGGCCCGCACTTAATGTTCGAATCCGAGCGGGTCATCCGCAACGTGCAATTGTCGTCACTTTTGGCCTCTTGAGGCCTGAATATGGAGGAAGTCTCGAGCGGGAGCCTCGTGTGTGAGTGGATTGCGAGGAAGTCTCAGGCGGGAGCCCCCTCCCTATGGGGCCCGCACTTCATCCTTGAACCCGAGCGGGTCATCCGAAACGTGTAACCGTCGTCACTTTTGGGCTCTTGAGGCCTGAATATGGAGGAAGTCTCGAGCGGAGCCTCGTCCGTGAGTGAATTGCGAGGAAGTCTCAGGCGGGAGCCCCCTCCCTATGGAGCCCGCACTTCATGTTCGAATCCGAGCGGTTCACCCGCATCGTGCCACTGTCTCCACTTTGGGGCTCTTGAGGCCTGAATATGGAGGAAGTCTCGAGCGGGAGCTTCGTCTGTGAGTGAATTGCGAGGAAGTCTCAGGCGGGAGCCCCCTCCCTATGGGGCCCGCTTCCCGGGCGCTGGCCGAGGCGGCGACGGCGCTGAGGAAAATGGATTTACTTTCCCCGACGAGGGGGAAGGGGAAATGCACATGGAGAAAAGGCAGGGGGATGAGGAAGGAAGGGGCATGGGGGAAGCCGACGACGAGGAGGAGGTGGCGCGAGAGGAGGAGGTCAGCATCACCATCACCATCGCACGATCACTCACCATCATCGGCACCGAACGATCATCATCATCATCGTCATCACCATCATCATCATCACCATCACCATCATCATCATCATCATCATCATCATCATCATCACTACTCGCTGATTGGAGGCCTGAATATGGAGGAAGTATCAGGCGGGAACTTCGTCTGTGAGTGAATTGTGAGGAAATCTCAGGCGGGAGCCCCCTCCCTATGGGGCCCGCGTTTCATGTTGGTAATCCGAGCGGGTCATCCTGAAACTTGTAATTGTCGTCATTTTTGCGCTCCTGAGGTTATATTATTGAGGAAGTATCAGGCGGGAGCCTCGTCTGTGAGTGAATTGCGAGGAAGTCTCAGGCGGGAACCCCCTCCCTATGGGGCCCGCGCTCCACGTTTGAATCCGAGCGGGTCATCCGAAACGTGTAACTGTCGTCACTTTTGGGCTCTTGAGGCCTGAATATGGAGGACGTCTCGAGCGGGAGCCCCGTCCGTGAGTGAACTGCGAGGAAGTCGCAGGCGGGAGACCCCTCCCTATGGGGCACGCACTTCATGTTCGAATCCGAGCGGGTCATCCGAAACGTGTAACTGTCGTCACTTTCGGGCTCTTGAGGCCTGAATATGGAGGAAGTCTCTAGCGGGAACCTCGTCTGTGAGTGAATTGCGAGGAAGTCTCAGGCGGGAGCCCCCTCCCTGTGGGGCCCGCACTTCATGTTTGAACCCGAGCGGGTCACCCGCAACGTGCAACTGTCGTCACGTTTGAGCTCTTGAGGCATGAATATGGAGGAAGTCTCGAGCGGGAACCCCGTCTGTGAGTGAATTGCAAAGAAGTCTCAGGCGGGAACCCCCTCCTTATGGGGCCAGCGCTTCATGTTCGAATCCGAGCGGGTCATCCGAAACGTGTAATTGTCTTCACTTTTGGGCTGTTGAGGCCTGACTATGGAGGAAGTCTCGAGCGGGAGCCTCGTCTGTGAGTGAATTGCGAGGAAGTCTCAGGCTGGAGCCCCCTCCCTATCCGAGCGGGCCATCCGCAACGTGTAACCGTCGTCACTTTTGGGCTGTCGAGGTCTGAGTATGGAGGAAGTCTCGAGCGGGAACTTCGTCTGTGAGTGTATTGTGAGGGAGGCTAGGCGGGAGCCCCCTCCCTATGGGGCCCGCGCTTCATGTTCGAATCCGAGCGGGTCATCCGCAACGTGCAACTGTCGTCACTTTTGGGCTCTTGAAACATGCATATGGGGGAAGTCTCGAGCGGGAGCCTCGTCTGTGAGTGAATTGCGAGGAAGTCTCAGGCGGGAGCCCCCTCCCTATGGGGCCCGCTTCCCGACGCGCTGGCCGAGGCGGCGACGGCGCTGAGGAAAATGGATTTGCTTGTCCCGACGATGGGGGAAGGGGAGGTGCACATGGAGAAAAGGCTGGGGGATGAGGAGGGAAAGGGCATGGGGGCGGCCGACGACGAGGAGGAGGTGGCGCGAGAGGAGGAGGAGGAGGAGGAGGAGGAGGAGGAGGAGGAGGAGGAGGGGGAGGAGGAGGAGAAAGAGAACGAGAAAGAGAAAGAGAAAGAGAAAGAGAAAGAGGAGGAGGACGAAACATAGAACGGGGAAGAGAGGGCAGTGCAGGGGGCGAGAGGAGATGGTGCCCGCCAGGGGGAGGAGGAAAGGGCAAAGGGCAAGCTAAACGGATTCTCGTGCGGGGTCCTACCGTCGGAGTAATTTTCTCAGCACACCCTCCGCGCAGGATTTCCTCCTCCCTCTCCTCTGCTCCTCTTTGCTTCCTCCTCCGCATCATCATCACCATCACCATCACTCCCCACGCATCAGCATCACCATCAACATCACCATCACCATCGCACGATCACTCACTATCATCGGCATCGAACGATCATCATCATCATCATCATCATCATCATCATCATCACTACTCGCTGACTTGAGGCCTGAATATGGAGGACGTCTCGAGCGGGAGCCTCGTCTGTGAGTGAATCGCGAGGAAGTCTCAGGCGGGAGCCCCCTCCCTATGGGGCCCGCGCTGCACGTTTGAATCCGAGCGGGTCATCCGCAACGTGCAATTGTCGTCACTTTTGGCCTCTTGAGGCCTGAATACGGGGGAAGTCTCGAGCGGGAGCCTCGTCTGTGAGTGAACTGTGGTGAAGTTTCAGGCGGTAGCCCCCTCCCTATGGGGCCCGCACTTCATGTTTGAATCCGAGCGGGCCCACCCGCAACGTGCAACTGTCGTCACTTTTGGGCTCTTGAGATATGAATATGACGGAAGTCTCGAGCGGGAGCCTCGTCTGTGAGTGAATCGCGAGGAAGTCTCAGGCGGGAGCCCCCTCCCTATGGGGCCCGCACTTCATGTTTGAACCCGAGCGGGTCATCCGCAACGTGCAACTGTCGTCACTTTTGGGCTCTTGAGACTTGAATATGGGGAAGTCTCGAGCGGGAGCCTCGTCTGTGAGTGAATTGTGAGGAAGTCTCAGGCGGGAGCCCCCTCCCTATGGGGCCCGCACTTCATGTTTGAATCCGAGCGGGCCATCCGCAACGTGCAACTGTCGTCACTTTTGGGCTCTTGAGATATGAATATGGAGGAAGTCTCGAGCGGGAGCCTCGTCTGTGAGTGAATTGGAGGAAGTCTCAGGCGGGAGCCCCCTCCCTATGGGGCCCGCCTTCATGTTTGAATCCGAGCGGGTCATCCGCAACGTGCCTGTCGTCACTTTTGGGCTCTATGGAGGAAGTCTCGAGCGGGAGCCTCGTCTGTGAGTGAATTGTGAAGTCTCAGGCGGGCGCCCGGAATCCGAGCATCCGCAACGTGCAACTGTCGTCATTGTTTGGGCTCTTGAGGCCTGAATATGGAGGAAGTCTCGAGCGGGAGCATCGTTTGTGAGTAAATTGCGAGGAGTTCTCAGGCGGGAGCCCCTTCCCTATGGGGCCCGCGCTTCATGTTTGAATCCGAGCGGGTCATCCGCAACGTGCACCTGTCGTCACTTTTGGGCTCTTGAGATTTGAGTATGGAGGAAGTCTCGAGCGGGAGCCTCGTCTGTGAGTGAATTGTGAGGAAGTCTCAGGCGGGAGCCCCCTCCCTATGGGGCCCGCACTTCATGTTCGAATCCGAGCGGGTCATCCG